CACATGCGGTACATGTGGGAGTGGTGCATGTGTGACGTGTAGGCTAGAACCGTGTCGCACGTGCCGTGCACATGTGGGAGTGATGTGTGGCGCACGTGTGACGTGTACATGTGGGAGAGGTGTGTGCATCATGTGTGACGTGTGGGCTAGAACCGTGTCGCACGTGCCGCGCACATGTGGGAGTGGTGTGTGCTGCACGTGTGACGTGTAGGCTAGAACCATGTCGTACGTGCGGTACATGTGGGAGTAGTGCGTAACACGTACACACATGTGAAGGTGCTTTTGAGCCTAGAACCCTAGGGGGACCGGACAGAACCAAGCGGTTCCCGATTTTGTGCTGGAACTGATACAGCAGATTTTCGAGTAGAATCCGAATAAATCTGGTTTGACTCGCCGATTTTTAAATCATTGTCTAAAACAATAGATAATAATGTATCACTTACATATCACCTTCAACTCCGTAACGTCAAGCCTAGCCCTCACGCTTTCTGCTATTTGAAGCTTCCTTGTCCTCTGGCAGTCAACGTGCTCAAAGAAGTTGAGAAAAGAAGAAAGAGAAACAGACATGAGAGAAGAGAGATATTGGCAGGGAACAAGAGAGTAATAGCACCATCAATCACCAATGCAACAGTATTGTCTGAAACGGAAGTTACCCAGATGATATTCTAACTTGCAACCTCTGCCGAGAAAGTCCAAGAAATCATATGCAATGGCTTTAAAAAAAATAAAAATTTCCTTGGGTATTCCAATTTCTTTTTTTCTGTTTTTTTTGGTATCTCAATTCTCTTCCCAAACCTCCATTATGGGAAGCTCCACCACACCCAAATTGCCATCGCACATGCTCACAGCGGGAACCTTACAAAAGGAAGTCTTGTCTTGAACAGAATGTCTTGAACAGAACACAGAAACTTCAAGTTGAAGAGAGAGAAAGGAGGTGGAACAAAACTTCCGGTCAAAAGCACCCGAAAAACTCAAATCCCGGTTAAAACCAGCTTGATAACTTCCAGAACCACCGTTCTCAGGGAGAAAAACCATAACAATCAGCCAGAAAACCGACATATAGGCCCGGAAAAGAGGAAAAACATGCAGCAAAACCAGAAACTTGCAAGGGGAAAGCAAGATCAGGCAAGATCAACTAGGCAACTGAGAGGGAATCAGCAAAAAGGACACATGCCGAATTAAGAATAGAACTTAAATGAACAAATTGTGAACCAGAGATGAATTCCTCCATGAATTTGCCTCAACTACGGTAGAGATTCAAGTCCCCAACCAGAGACGGAACATACAATGTTCTCAACTAGAAACCCTTGAACAAACCAATTTTGCTTATAGTTTAAAAAGGATCAAAACCGACACTAAACCCTGACCCGATGAAGAGAACACAAGTTTCAGCAAAAGTAAAACCCTAATTTGAGGATTTGAGGAACTAGAAAACAATGCATGTGGAAGACGTCGGCCATCTTCTTGCGTCGGCCATCTTCAAAACAAAACACAGTATCGAGGGGCATTCTCTTTCCAACCAAATTGTGCGATGGATTTTGCAAGTAAAGGCATTAAATATCTTGAATATAGAAAATTACACAAATATTTGTTATTTTAAGTGTTAGTATAATTTTATCTAAAATTTTCACTATTAATATCAAGAGAGAGATCCAGTAACAGTAAGGATTTAGGCAACTAGGAATTCACTGCGAGATTCAAAATTTTGGATGTGATTAAGCACTTTATTACATTTTATATGAATAGAGAAGTTTGATTGATTTCATATTTTCATTTTTTTTTTTTTGCCCTTGATATATAGAACATAGCATTTTGGATGGACCACTATTTTACATATTTGAGTCTTTGTGTTTTGTTTTGGTTAACTGCAATCGTATAGCATCTTTTATGTTTTTCATTCTTTCACAAATAATCCTCTAACCCAAGTTACAATGATAGTTATTCATTGATGTAACTCTTGTATTTAGTATTTTTGTTATTGTTTCATTGTATGCTTCTAATAAATCTTTGATATGTTTTGTGTTGTGAGAACAAAGTAAGCACTATTATTGGTTTTATTGAAAATTTAGACAAAAATCAGTCAAACATTACTCTAGTAATGCTGGGTAAGGACATAAAATTATTATTAATTGGCTTTAATGTATATATACAATTACAAATGGTAATCCCATATTGTGTCATCTTTACATATCCGATTTTTTCACACCGTTTCTTTGAGCCAAATCTAAGATATTCACAATTATTTAACTTGCCCTATCTTTTGGTGATCTGTATTTTTTACCAATTTTTTTAGCTTCAACTTTTTGAAATAAAACTGATTTATTTCTTATAAGGTGAACATAATTACTCCTAGCCATTAGTGTTGAATTGCGTGGCTTTAGAGTGTGTTACAAAGTTTAAAAAAAATTAGTTTTGAATCTAGAGAGAGAACATCAAGCTTACACCTAGCTTAGCACCAGAAAGGCATGACAGGCACTCAAGAAAACGAAGAGAGAGATACCAGAGAGATCCCAATGCAGAATACAAATCCAAACACCAACTCTCAACATTATCTTTAGGACACGGTTTCTATGAGTCTACAGACTCACATGTAGGAATGTGAACCCCTTAACAATTTATTTTTGAAATAGTCTTAATTTTTTGGGAATAGGTAATCTTTTACATGTAGATTATTAATCTGTGAAAACAAATAAATTCTAAAAAACTAAATTGATATTTTTTGGAGAAAATATTTGAATAGTTGATTTAATATTTCTTTGGAAGACTATTATTTATGGTGTAGGTCTACACTTTCTTTGGTGGATGGTGTAGATGTCCAAGCCCACATAGTGACAGGTGCAGGGTTGGACGCACCAAACAACTCTCCTCTTATTTAACGTTTAACATGGCCTGGCTCTTTCATTCATAAATTTCACGGTCGGTCTTAAATGGATGGATTTCTAAAAGTATATAGAGCCGAGGCTCTAAACAATCAAATTAGAGCCCACCTCAAAATTTTCACTAGAATAGGTTGTTTTGATGTCTAAATATCCTCAAATTGATAATCTCAACATGAAGATTCATGGACATGAGAAAAAAATGAATTTCAATTTTTGGAAATAATGCATCCTGTAACGCATTTTTGGACCATCAATTTTCAAGATTTTCAAGTTTTGATAGATCTGCTAGATCTAGACTAATTTTTAAGCTTTAAATTTTATAATTAAATATACAAATATATTTTAAAGCTATCACAAAGTTTTTCAGTATTAAAACAATATTTCTCGACACTATTTGAAGGTGTGAATTACTTTGATTGTTTAGAGCCTCCACTCTATACAATCCGCACCCCTTTAAAAAATGGCCATCACTTTCTAATAGGTAGTATGTCGAGTCTGCCATAACTTTCCAGTTAGAAGTAGGTTCTCTATTTTCGGTAGATTTTTCTGCACTTTAACTCTCACTCATGGGAGGCCACTGGAGTGTGAGCAAATATGTTTCTCTTTCTTCTTCTATAAATTTGAAACCAATGAAGATCTCCTCTAAAAACTTAGCATTTGCACTTCAATTCAATCTCGATGGCCTCTTCTTCTTCTTGCTTGAATTTCTATCTCCTCCTAATTTTCTCTCTCTGTAGTTGCACCATTGCATCCAAGGTCCATTCCAAGAAAGGGAACTATTCTGCTCTCTTTAGCTTTGGTGATTCACTTGCTGATACAGGGAACCTTCTCCTCTCGGGGCACAGCCCCTTCATAAGGATAGCCCACCCTCCCTTTGGAGAGACATTCTTCCACAAACCCACTGGTCGATGCTCCGATGGCCGCTTAGTTGTCGATTTCGTCGGTGTGTTCTCTCTCCTCTCTTTTCTTTGTTTTCACATTCATGAAAATTGACATGGACATGTACAGAAATTTCTCATATTTGGCTTCTTTTTTATTTGATGAATGTGCGTAGCCGAGGCGTTTGGGCTCCCTCTGCTGCCTCCTTATCTCTCTAAGTTGAAAGGTCCGGCGGACTTCCGAAAGGGCGTGAACTTTGCTGTGGCAGGCGCCACCGCGCTCAATTCCTCGTATTTTACAAAGAAAAACATTGGATTTTTGTGGACAAACAGCTCCCTTAATGTCCAGTTGGGGTGGTTTTACCATCTTCTGCCATCCCTCTGCAGGACTGATGCTGGTATCTCTCTTTCTCCTCTATGTGCTGGTGTCCATTTTCCGTTTTCAAGCGTTATCAGTACCGGAAACTGATACATGGCCTGGTTCATTTAGAACCGGTCCAATTATGGATGGTATTACTTTGGCTAGATTTTAAAATATATTAAAAAAAAAAAAGGTACACTAAAAAATATGAAATGCATTATAAAAAATGATTTAATTTTGTTTAGTTAGTCTAATTGATCAAGGCCGTACTTCCAACCAACTAAAATTAGTTAAAGATTAGTTTTAAACTATTTTCGACTAAAGTTAATTTTTGCTCTAGATAAAACTTTCTAAAGCACTCAACTAAAGTCCAACGGGCCTCATCAATCTCGATGACGATGCTCTCTATATTTTACTGTCCATATTTTTCAGGGGTGGCGATGAGCCAAGTGTCCTAGCCCAGCCCGGTAAAACTAGGGCTTAGGCTACAAAATGTAGCCCGAGGGCCAGGACCGGGCTAAGCCAAAATAGCCTCGGCTTGGTTCGGTTCACCGTTCTAATTTTTTAATCTTTTTTTCCCTTATTTTTCTTTAATTTTACCCTGGGCCAAGGTCTACCTGGCCCGATGCCAGCCCTGCATAATTTATAGGCCTATGCTTGCTAAGATTTTTTACATGGCAGCCTGTAAAAGTTACTTGAAGAAGTCAGTGTTCTTGGTTGGGGAGATTGGAGGCAATGACTACAACTACGCCTTTATACAAGGAAAGAGCATTGAACAAGTAAAGAGTTATGTGCCGGATGTCATTAACGCCATCATGAATGCAGCTTCGGTACGTGACACTCTAATACACCACATACTTTTGGTGGACACGTTTTTTATGCGGCCCTCCATATTGTAGAAATGGGAGCTTGGTAAGAAATATATTTTGTAAATATAATTTGATCTTAATTTTTAGATAATATATAATATTTAACATGAAGATTATGAATATGAAAAATAATAATAATAATTGAAACTAAAAATAATATTTATATTAAAAAAAACATGTGAACCATTAGATGCAATTGTTTTAAATGGACCACCAGAAATACGGTCCAGCTGCCAAACAATTTTCCACTTTTGATCGGTTTCATGCATCAATGGTTTCATTAATCAAAAATGGGTTTCGTTGAGAAGTTCTAATGAACTCTCTGCCTGCCCATTTCTCATCGCTGGCTAAGGAAACAATGGGTTTTACTGTGTCGGTCCGCAAAATAGTAAATATGTTGTACCCTGGAAAATTGACTTTTAGATATGAAATTGAGAAATTTAGGTAGGGATTGGGAGGGCTGAAAATGGGTCGAATTGGGGCTGGATCCACCTAGATCTTGATTCCTATTCAAAAAGTATAGATGGGATCTGGATCCAAATCCAGACTTACTAAATCCAAAAAATTATTTTTATATATGTATAAAATTATATATAATACTTTACTGATTGGGTGGATCCAAATCCGATGCACCTAGATCTCGATTCATATTCAAAAAGTATAGACGGGATCTGGATCCAGATCCAGACTTGACTGGATCCAAAAAATTATTTTTACATATGTATAAAATTATATATAATACTTTACTGATTGGGTGGATCCAGATCAGATGCACCTATAACCAGATCCAATCAAAATTACTATTCAGATCCAATTTTTAAATCCGGTTCTGACCCTTGGATCCAAATCTGATCCATTCATGGATCTAGATAACCAAAATCTGAATTTCAGATCCCAACGACGTCAATTCTCAACCCTATAGATAGGATATATTTTCTGGAATTAAAGATGATCCAAAATTTTTTGGAGTTTTATCTTGATGTCCTAAATTGTCGCCGCGGGTGAAAGTAGAACTTCGAAACGAATCTAGGTTCGAAATTGATGCTTTTGAACCCTCCAAAGAGCATTTGGGTCGTCCAAATGCCTGTTGGCCCTTCCTGTAGCTAGTTTGAAAGTTTGAGAGTCTTAACTACTTTTGGCAATCCAATATTTCCTTAAAAAAAAAAAAAAGCTTTCTATTTGAAGCGGTTCGAAAGTGGGACTTTTGAACCTCTTGCGGTTAATTTCAAGCAAACTACAATACAGTTCAAAAGTTGCATTTGTGAATCACAGTCAAAAGTTGAAAAAGGTTTATGTGTGGGCGGGTCTAGGTTGGAAACTTCGAACAAGCCTTAAAGGAAAAAAATAAAAAAAATTAAAGTTTGGAGCAGTTCAAATTTGGACTTTCAAATGCCCCACAACAAGGGCCAATCAGCATTTTTTTTTTTTTCCACAGCAAGCGTCAATCAGCATTTTTTTTTCTTTTTTTTTTTGGGTGCAATTGGCATACGAATGCATCAGTAGGTGTAGAGGTAAGGTGCACCTTCAAACTTTATCATGGTATATAATTTTGATATCAAATGTTCTTAGGATTATCTCAAAATCTATTGTTATACCTAATTATAAAATTTTAAATTTCAAAAATAGTTAAAATCAAGTAGATCTATAAACATATGAAAATATTGAAAATGGACAGTGTAGATAATATGCTGTAAAATGCTCTAATTTTGAGACTTAAAATCTTTTTATTTTTCACGGTCATACATCTCGATGTCGAGATGATCAATCAAAGGTTTTTTCAACATTAAAACTACCTTTTCCGATGGACTTTGAGGTACATCCGTAGTTCTACATTATAAGGTTGCATCCTTATATAAATTTTTCCCTTCTTTTTTTTTTTTTTTTTTTTCTTAACAGTTGGGAGGTAGTCTCCGTAAGTATAATAACAAAAAAGAAGAAATAAAGAGACCTTACTTCCTAAAAAGACTGACCCAACACTCCTAAAATACAAAAGGATGTCTTAATCTCAAATGCCCTACACTACCAACAAACTTAGAAACCCCGTGAAC